TAATTTAGATGTCACTTCTGAGCTTTGGTTAGTTTGGGTTAGTTTGGTTAGTTTGGGTTTTTTTTAAATGTTCAGAAGTTAGAGGGAGACAATTATGAGATTTAGGAGGTAGTAATTATTTGGCATACCCAAATAGACATACTGTTTTCTCATATGTGATGATTTTCTAGCTTGTTTGTAGTCCTTGTAAAGGAACATTTAAAACCTCTTTCAGAAGCTATAGAACACCATATTAAGTATATGTGTACTCATTACTTCAGTGGAAGATACTCGAAAATCAGTCTTTATGAAAGACACATTTTAATTGAAGCATGTTAAAATGACTCTATTTTAATTTTTCATTACTGAGGAAAAACACCCAGTGATGCAAAGACAATCATTCACCACCTCCCACCAGCAGATCAGTGCCCAGGGAGGTCTCTGAGCAGCAGCTGTTTTGGAAAGACAACTCCCCAGTTTTATTGCTGAGGGTGATGGTAGCTGATATGGGATATCCCTCTGGTCCATTTGGGTCAGCTGTCCTGGCTATGTGCCTTTCCATCAAGTTGCCCATCCCAGCCTCTGGGGCTAGAGTGGAAATCAGAAGGCCTTGATGCTGTGCAAGCACTGCTTGGCCATAGCTAAAACATAGATGTGTTACCAACACAGTTTTGGTCATAAATGTAAAGCACAGCATCATGCAGTCTGCAGTGGAGAAAACCTGACTCCATCCCAGCCAGACCCAGTACAGACGTAGACTTGGAAAAGGCACTAAAAGGCTGATTTATAGTTGTAGGTTGTTTTTATGAGAGGGGATTATCTGGCTGGAGAATTGTATTCACAAAGCTGTTCCTGAATGACTTCCTATCATTGCCAGCAGAGAGCTCCACAGGCTAAATTTTGGCTAGCTGCAAGTAAGTGTATTTTAAGGCAATGTGTTCTTCTGCAAAATAAGAGTGAAGTTTTTCATGTCTGCAGTATTGTTTAATTCTTGAAACTATTTGCCTTGGATTTCTTTGCCAAATAACTTGTAGAAGATGTTCTCATTTAAACATTAGCATGTTTCAAAGCTTTACAGAGAGATTTTTGTTTACAGCCTGTCCATCTTACACAGTGCTTAGCACTGTCTGCAGGTATCAGGGAACATGAGCTTCTTTACTGCAATGTGTGGGTATTGAATTAAATAAACCTAGCTGCATCTGCTAATCACTGTTTAAGGTGATAGCCATGCTACAAAATGCCCCTTACTGCTAAGTGCAGAAAAGAAAGTAAATTCTTCAAATGGTCAACATACGGGTTAAAATCTTGTGATCACTCTCAGTGTGTTTGACCCAAACCTAACCACTAATTTAATAAGTACAAATCACATTAGCTAGTTCTTGCAACACCTTTCTGTAAAATGTCTTTGCAATACTCCATTAGTTTTAAGAATACCAAGTTGTAATGATACCAATTAATCTCTTACAGGTGTATTTCTACACATAGTGGCAGACACGCTTGGAAGTATTGGTGTAATCATATCTGCTATATTGATGCAGAACTATGGTCTAATGATAGCAGATCCTATTTGTTCAATGCTGATAGCACTACTTATAGGTGTAAGGTAAGCGTTGCTATCACTGGTGTTTGGTAGTAGTTCTGATGCTAGTTACAGCAGAAATGACTGCCTGTTATGCTAATGACTTACAGCATTTGCTTTTCTTCCAAGACTGAGATGCTGTGTCCTGTACAGCTGTTGTGGTGTGCTCTTACATGAGCACTTTCCCTTTTCTACAGCTACAACTTTCACTCTTAAATCTGCATGTTTTGCCCCTGTTTGCATAATACTACAAAAATGTCTTTCAGGTTCAAACTGTAGAAAGCTTCCCCTCTGTATTTAGTACATGCTTATATAAACCAATGTACTCCAGTAAATGGAGCAGAATGGCTTCAGGGCAGCAGAGTTGAGCCTGCTGGCACAGGATCTGCCCTTGTCCTTGACAAATCAAGGCTGGTGGGTTTTAATTTTTTGTTTTCCCTGGCGAGAACTGTCTTTTCCTTTGTATTTGTATTCTGAGACATCCTTATTCCTTTTAAGATCCAATGGAAATGCTTGAACTACATTGGGTTTCTCAGTTTTTGCTTACCAAGATGACTGTAAATGTGAAGCTATTTGGATTAGTCTGGACAAGCAAATATTTCATTCAGTGACATTGTTATTGAGGCTTTTCTGGCAGCAGTTTCAATGGTGGCATATGGCAGTGTGCCACAACTCCAGTTACAACCTAATAACTGAACACCTTTGTCTCTTCAGCAGTGCTGGGTGTCATCTGATGAAGTGCAGCTACTTATGCTTATACCATATATGGCATGTTTATACCATATGCATGGCAGCATTCACAGGATTATTGATGTGAATCTCCCTAGTTATCAAAGTAGGGCAACATGCTTCAGATACAACCCCCACAGAACTCGGTGCTAGAGATCACTATTAAATCACCACTTTAATACAAACTCGTAGTATTTTGACTTAAATATCCTGTAATTTCATAACAGACAAATTACTACAATTAAATCTCAAAAAATAGAAAAGAAAATGTACAGGTTACCAAGGGGGAAGAAACTATTGCTGAGGTAAAGGTAGTAGCTAAATAAAACACAGGTTTCCATGCACTTTGTATTTTAAGGGTCTAGCTTTGTGTACTATTTGTGTGTATTTTATATACCACATGGATGGGAACTTTTTTCTTCCATTCATACAGAGGCTGAAGGAAGACTGACTTCCATAATAGAGGTTTCATAGTACAGCTGTTTATAGGTCTTCTAGGACAGTTAGGAGGAATGTCTGAGGCCCATGTTCTATGCTGAAAATGCTGGAGAAGTTCACTGTTTGATGTGCCTTTTGATCTGATGCCAGACTTCAGCCTGTTACATTATTTTGTTGGTCCACAGGGCTATACATGATCTGTGGAGTAATTCTGCTGTCAGAGTGCAGTTAGCAGACTGACACATCCTGGCACAGCAGTGGAGCAAATGCTAATTGCAGGGTTGGGGTTTTTGTGTTGGGTTTTTTGGTTTTTTGGGGGTTTCTAAGCAGTCCAACAGGCTTTACTACCTTTGGCTTTGCTTGAAATGCAATTAAACAAGATCATAAACAAGATGACTGGCAGTTTCAGGTGGATATTTTTTGAGACCTTGAGTCCCCTTTTATGGTGTTTGACTTTAATAATCTTCATTTACACTTCTGGATATGAATGCACTGTTAATTCTGTCTTACTCTTCCCTGTGCTGTGTTTGAAGTGTTCTAAAATTGACACAAATGCTTTCAGATTTTCCCATAAGGTGATCTTTTGTAACAGTAATCCAGGGCCCCAACTGATGATTGCTGGGGTACATCATAGTTTTGTACTTAATCTTTTCGGGTCACCTAAATCTAACCTAGAGAAAAGATTATACTGAAATTCTGTGAGATTGAAAATTTCAGGGGAAGAACATTGCACAGAAGACTTTAAACTGATAATGGCAAGTACTGTGTCTAGTTTGGAGGGAGGTTGTTTCTTTTGTAGGTTGTTTTGGGCTTTTGGTGGGGTTTTTAATTGTCTGTTTGCTGAGGTGGGGAGGAGTGGAATGTTCAGTTACTAGTACAGGAATTCCTGGCCTCTTCTATGGGCCTGTTTGCAACCTTGATAAATAATTGAGGGGGGAGATTTGGCTTTAGATTAAATAATTGTCTGCTGTTTCAAAGGAATATTCATTAGTTGTGTCCCCTTTACTGATTAAACCAACTTCAGTAAGGTGAAATGGGGTAGGAGGATGTCTGTGCCCCAGCAAGAAGATCCCATGCATGTGTGTTTAAAAATCAGGATCTGTTCTGTAATTGGGATTTGTGTGGCTGTAATTAAGCAAGCACAGGTTTGAGGCAGAGATGCAAAAGCCAGTCTGATAAAGTCATCCAGGAGTTTTAATGGTGTTTGGGGACTTTGCCCTAGTTGGAACTGTATCCTCCAAGTTATTACTTCATGGTCTGAGTTTGACTTATGAAATCTGCAGGACATGGGTAGGTGGTAGGTTTGACACAGGGCTCCATTTTCCTGGGGTTGTGTTTGGGTGTTTTTGTTGTTGTTGCGGGGTTTTTTTAAGTCTGTATTCTTTCTATGATACTCATGCATCCAAAGAAGGAATAAAGACAGTGCACACATCCTTATTCCCTTCTGTGGAACTACATCTAATGAACCAGTAGAATATCACAGCAGTTGCATGACAGTGCAGAGAAGAATCATTGCTCTTAATCCAGGATTGCTTCTGTCTGCATGAGGTAACTGTTCAGTGTTGGGCAGCTCTCTCTGACTTACTCAAGCCTTGCCTGCTCCTATTAGTGGGTCTTGTCTGTTCAGGTTTCTGAAATGACAGCCACACTTGCCAAAAGAAATCACAAAAAGCTGTATAAGATGACTAAAAAACTCATCATTGCAGTATAAAGCTGTACAGACTCTACTTTGTAACCTGTTTTGTCTTGTGCAGAGAAGTCAAGCAGTGCTTTTAAATCAAATGGTTGAGCCTTCCTGTAGACAACATCTCTAATTAGTGCAAATTGTCAACTGCTGACACAGTTGCTCTGTGTTGCTCCTGTGATGCTTCACTAAGGCAGCTCTAGGGTGACATTCTCTGCCTAACTCCTGGTGAGTTAGCACAGAACATTCTGACTACACAGTGAAAATAAGGTGTGGGATTTGAATTTTCCTGGATGCAACCACTAATATCTAATGATCTCTCTTTGATTACTTTCTGTACTATCTCATAGAAGTGTCCATTTAATTATAAAGCATAAATAGGACATGGTTAAAATAGACAAGTCTGTCTTAAGAGCATTTTTAAAAAAAATTTAAAAAAATAATCTTTTTTTAAAAAAATAGCTTGGCTATTTCATAGTTGTTCATGTCGACACTCCAAGTTTTTTCCAAGGTGCTGTCCTCATAGTTTTATGTACCTGTAAGCCTTATTCTGAAATGTTGAAGCAATTTTAGTATTTCAGTCAGCTATGTGAAATTAGTCACCACACAAAGCCACAACTCTGCTATAAATCAAGTTTGTCCAAAACCACTATTAGACCCACATGTTTCTAGAAAGGCACAGTAGACTGAATATGATACTAGATTGCATAGAGCATGCAGAGTACATATTAAGTGGTCAAAGAAATGAGGCAATTTACTTCATTTAGTGAAGTTGTTTCCATGGGTTACATCATTTTTTGCATAAAATCTAGAGCTGCTTGAACTCAATATAATGTGAAAGAGCTTTGGGGGAGGATGTGTGAGTAACATTTGGGGAATATGCCTTCAGTGGTTGGGGCATAACAGTATAAAAAAGTTACTTTTTTAAATGAAGTGCTGCATTTACTAAAATTCAGAAGGAGTGTTCTATAGCAAAACTCTTCCAAAGTTGCATATTTGTCATTGGTGTTTTAAGCCATTATTGCTAAATGTCACACACTACCTTTATTTACAGGGCAGTGATACCTGCCAGCCTTGCAGGAGAATCAAAGTACTGTCTTGTTATGAGAACAAACAATTCAAAATCAGTAAAGTAAATGTTAAACTTGTGATCCTTGTCTTGAGCAAAGCTTCCAGTCTGATTAAAATTGCCATTGCTGAAAAGAAAAATTCTATTGAAGTTCTGAAATAGTCCAACAGTCTTGGCACTGCTGGTACGGAGGGTGGCTGGGGAAAAAAACCAATTTGGAAATCTGGCTGGAGATTTTCAGCTATGCTATTTGAAGAACCATAGCTGGTCTTGATCTTTAGCAATGTTTGTTTACCTTCTACAAAATCTCTCACAAATATCCTCTATTTTCTGTAGTGCTGAGAGCAATGAATGAATTTCCTGCTGTGCTCTGAGTGCGATGACTGTGTAAAGGGTTCTTTACCCCAGAGTTGTTTTTAGCCTTGCAGTCCAAGATGTTGGCAATGCCAGAGCCTTGCTGGCTATGCCTGCAAAAACAGTGGGATAAACAGGATGAGACTGGAATGTGTATGAGTATTATCTGAATGTGATGCAGGTTAATTAAGAGTTTGAAGCTTTCACTCTTGATTGTTAATCAAGCCATGTGTAGTAGTGGGTGGCTGGATTTATCATATTTATCAGTAGCTTTTATCTGTTTGAACACCTTTCACTTTCTCTGTAACAGTGTATGTGCAAGTGTGATGTGCTGTACCATAGCTGCTTTTGCTGTTCTGGCTTGTCCCAAGTCCTGCTCTGGGATAGTGCCTCTTTCAAATTCCATTGTTTTGTGAAAGA